ATCAGGACAACAGCAGATCAAAGGGAATTTGCAGCATAACTCTTGCATCTTGACAATAGAAAATCACCAGCTTCACAAGATCCTAATCTTTCTGTTGATAACATAGAAATGCCTCAAATTTCATGCATTGACAGCTCTCTGGTGGATGATATCTTCAACAATATATCTGAGGAAGAGAGAAGGAGCAGAGTAATTCTTTTGCCAAAGAACTCAGTCTGTCTCCTGATCAATGAAGTTTTGAGACAACTTCCAGGTGACTGCTGCACCTATTATAGTAGGGATAAAATTTTGACAGATGATCCTACTGAGGCTGAGTGCTACCCACTTGAATTTCTAAACTCTTTGACACCATTAGGAATGCCTCCTCATAAAGTGAGTTTAAAACCAGGCTCAAAAGTAATACTTCTTCATAACATTTCTATCCAGAATGGACTCTGCAATGGAACAAGAATGGAAGTGATGGCCATACATCAACATTCAATTGATTAGCAGCTCACTAATTGGCAGACTTGTCCTCATCCTCAGAATAAATCTAGCTTCAAGGAGTAACTTGCCATTCACATTGGAGAGAACCCAGTTTCCTGTCTGTTTGTCATATGCCATGACTATTAACAAGTCACAGGGATAGATATTTGAGAAGATGGGATTGTTCTTACCCCAGCCAGTGTTCAGTCATAGGCAATTGTATATGGCATACACTAGAGATCGCAAGCTCTCAGATATAAGGGTTAAAGTGATGGAGACAGACAAGGAAGAACATTGTATGCTGAAAGGTACTGACTTGGTCTATTGTTTTCTGTATTCATATTGGAGGAAATTGGCATGGCTCTATTTTGGGGGTGGGGAGTACAATGGACTGATTAGCATTAGCAAGTTTTTCACACATGGTGGACATTCCCAAGTATCTATATATGTTGTTTATTTTCCCAGCCTATGAGTATTGTATGTTAAAAAAAGGGTAGATTTAATAGCTAAACTTTATGTATTTGTAAATATATCTGTACAAATATACACGATTTTACTATTTGCTACCTAAATATGTCATTCTATTATATATGTAGAGATTTTAATTACTCCTTATTCAATGCCTTATTTTTATACATATATATGTAGAAAAAGTTTGTTTATTCAACATTCTATTAGTCATTCTGTGGAAATTCCATGGGTCCTGTTAGTGTTTAATATTATTGACCATTCACTTTTTATTCCTGTGTATGGTTGTTGCAAGGTCCCCAGTATACAGGTTTCACCAGGAGCTCATAATGCTGTTAAGATGGCCCTGGCATGATGTGTAATTTATTTTTTGTTTTTCAAGATTGTGCTTGAAAAGTTGGTGAATAAATTTTGGTTGAGGAGTTATATTCAAATTTGTCTGCTAGTTGATTAACTATTTCTTTCCTTTCTGTACATTTGTCTTTTGCATTTAACAACTTACCATTTATGCTTCTTACCATATTCCATATTTTCTTTCCTGGTGTATTTTCATTCAACATAGAAACACTGTTTCCATATTATTCCCCTGCTGTTTTTTATGACACAATGTGCCTTTGCACAAGCCTATTTATATTTTTATAGATTGTTGTTGGATTAAATTTTTGCAATGAATTTTTCCTATGTTTTATAGCTTCTTTACATTTGATTGTAAGCCAAGCTTTATGCTTTGTATTTAACTAGATGTTTTGGGAATTGTTTGTTCTTTGTTTTTTTTTGTTTTTTGGTTGTTTTTTTATGGCATATATATCAACATTAATGGGTTATTAAATGCTGACAAGATTTTTATTGCAGGTAATATTTTTTCCAAAAATGTATTCTTGGTAATATTTATTTTCTTCAAAAATATATTGCTGCTAATAATGTATTGTTGGTAATAATTTTCCCTCAAAAATTTATTGCCGGTATTAAAACCTATTTTTACACTTTGATAGGGTTTTGACCCCAATTTGGGGGTTAACTTTTTGCCCATAGCTGTGACCCTAAAAAGTGTTACCACCCTGGCCCTGGGTCAGGGTGGACCTGGGAACACCAGCAATAAGAGTTGGTTCCATTCTCCTCGAAAACCTCCTGATCAGAGTCCTTGCTGTTGGATGTAATTTATGTTATCATGATGCTTGTTTGTTCTGCTATGTTTATTACTGTATTGGTAGAAGCTAATAATGGATTGGGTTTCTCTAATATTTGTTCATTAATTTGTGTTTGGCATAGCTTAATAAATTTTGGACAATCTGCCTTATTGAGCTGCCATTTGGGTGTTCTTTCTCCAGGTTTTGTTTTTACAATGCAAAGTAATCACATCCACACTAATCATCATAGACTCTTGATTCTAGATCCAGAAACAAGGAAGGAGAACATATTGTTAAATCTAGAACTGAAATTGCTCCAGTGGCTGAATGAATATAGGTACTGGCTTTGTCATTTTGAAGACACAGATAAATTTGAATTAGTTTTTCTATAATACTTCCATTGGAGTTAGGTTTATTTATGCTACAGAGTACACTATGGATATTAATATTCTCCCAGTAGTATAAAGGGGATGATTAGTTATTCTATAAGTTTATTTATTTCCATTTCTTATACTGAGCATGTATATTGAGATTCAGAATAGCAACGTTTTTCTTGTGATTTTTTTTTTATAGTCATAAAATTAGAGTATTATTTTCATTGAATGTGCTCTCCACTCACCTCAGAATCCCTCAAAAGGGAAATGCCAAGAGGGAATCTCATTCACCTTGGCAGATCAGGGTTTCACATTCAGTATACTCACACTGGAGAAAGAAACCAGATATTTGAAATCTTCAAGTTTTTGTACCCAAGATTACTATTTACTTTGGGAAAATATAAAAATATTTGTCCCTCCTCAGTATGATTGACCTTACAGTTACTGCCTTCTGATTCAAGTTTTTGCAAAATGTTTTATAAAAACTCAAATGAGGGCTTAACATGACATGACCAGCCAATTGATCAGATCGAGCCTCTCCAACTGCTTAACTAACCAAAGTAAGGGCCAAAGTGGTTAGGGTTAGATTCTGTTAATTTAGGAGTATATTAACCCAGCTCCTGAAGCCCTCAATCACCAGGATCCCATCTTCGGGCAACATGGTAAACAGGTAGCCTTATTTTCCTACTCCTCTGCAGAGGTGCAGTCAATGAATTCTGCAGCCCCAGCCAACAGGGTACTTAAATTCATAAAGTCTATGCACCATAGAGGAAAGTTCATCAGAACAATTACCATGAAAGTAGTTATAGGAAAGGCACAGGGAAACTATGTTACAGAGTTGGGAAAGTAATTGAAGGCGAGATACAATGTCAATTTCTAAATGTATAGCAGGAGCACCGGACCATATGTGGCAGCAATATTCAAAGTATGGATGAATGGTAAACTGTAATTTAATTCTAATGAGAAAAATTATCTAGCATGACACATTGAACCAACTTCTTTAGCAACAGACCTAGCAATCTTTCCACTTCATGTCAACAGAAAGTGCAATGAGTCACATCCCCTGTAAGTTAGCATCAGCAGTGCTAATGGAAGGTGAAAATGGTTCTCTCAGCTGATTAAAACAGAGTAATTTCATTTTGGAGGTATTAAAATTAAGAAGTCATCCCTTGCCCCATTTAACAGATTTTAGGTCATTATTTTTTTTCTTTTTTAGATCAGCTGCCAATTTGAATAAGACTTACTATTAAGACAGTAGTAAATAGTTGTGTCATCAGCAAATATACAGAGTTTGAGAACTGGTGACATCAAGGTCATTTATGAAAATTAGGAACAATGTAGGTCTAAGGATAGAGCCCTGAGGAATACCTGCATTAATGCAAAAAGATCTAGAAGAATGTCATTGAAGACAACTTTTATTTTGCAATTTGATGACTGCATCAGTTCAAAAATTTGCCCAGAGATACCATAACTTTTCAACTTATGAAAAAGACCAGCATGCCAAACCCTGTCAAATGCTTTTGAGATATTCAAAGCAACAGCCCAATCTTCACCATTCTTATCTAAAGCTTGATAGACTCTTTCAGCAATAATCGTTAATATATCAGCAGTTGACCTAGAGAATTGAAAGCCATATTGCTTATCTGAAAGAAGACTATGCAAGGTGAAATGCTTAACCAATTCAGAGTTAATTAGAACATCTAGTACTTTGTCAAAAAAAAGGTAGATGGCTAATAGAAGGATCAGATGGTTTCCCTGAGTTCTTAAAGACTGAAAGTAGATTTCCAAGAAGCAGTGAGGCATTTATTATACAGTTTAGAGAGAACAAGAGCCAGTTCAAGAGCACATTTCTTAAGGACTATTGCAGTGATACCATCGAGTTTACATGCTTTGTGAGGATCTAGTTTAGAGAGGATAGCAGAAACCAATACATGTGGACATTTTGGAAAAAAAACATAACAAATGATTAGACCATATTCATCTCTCCTGATGTTAGAATTATGGAATTTCTTTGTAAAGCTTATTTACAGTAGTATAAAAGTTTGAAATTAGATCACAATCAATTATTTATTTTTTGTGGGTCTAAAGATTTCCAAGGAGGTGTTAATTAGACATAAATGGTATGGCTTTTCTTTTTAGTACAATAGAGTTTAGGTAAAATTGTTTAATTGACAAAGTTTTAAAAACCTATATTTAAAAAAAATATTTTGAAACAGTTAACTTCTAAATTAATGCTCCTAAACATTTATGGTTTATTCTTTTACACTTTTAATAAATCAAAATGTCAAGTAATAATATAAAATGTTCATAACATAACTTAACAATTGAGATAAAAATTTACATTTTTTTTGCATACCCAAGACTGACAATGTTCTTAATCTATGTTTTGGGCAAATTGTTTTACTAAACCCTAAAGCAATCATATGCAAAATACTCAAAGACATTTTGGTATACTATAGTATAAGCTACTGTATTATTTATATATATAAGTTACTGTATTATTATTATTGTGTTAGAGGGAGAAAGATATATAGGATAATAGAAGTTAATTTTTTAATGTACTGACCTTCTCTAGCTACAATGAGGCTGGTAATGGCATCAGGTACACTGACACCAAATGCTACAAATGTTAAGCCCATCACTGTGTCAGGAATTCCCAGCGTATAACCTGTCATCATAGAAACCAAATATAAAGATCAAATAACATTTTATAGGCAATATAATGTTATGCAACATGTTAAAAAATAATTGCTGAAATCCAAACAGAATAGATTCAAACACTCACTTTTATTCAATATCATTAACAAATACACAAATTTTTTTTTTTAACAAGCTATTTGAATTGATCAAATGGTTCAGTTGGACTAGTTTTCAATTTTTATACATATTTAACAGTTTATAAAAGATTTTCTCAATCATATTTAAATATTTTAATTACAGCATTAGAACATGATTAAGTGCAGAATATTTCCAAGAACAAGTGGAATGTGAATTTTGGGCCTTGACTCATAACTGTTTAACTTCATAGTTCAAACATGAATTAGTCTCCATGTTTTATGGACTAAAGAAAATAAAATGATTGTGTTATTTTAGCACAATTAATAGCATAGGACTTATATATATAAGTGTGTGTGTGTTCATATATGGTAATATAACTGAGAGTAAATGACTTTCTAAAACCAACTGTTTTGTCTTTGTACATTAGAAATAATATTTAATAAAGATGGTTATGTAAATGAGAGTAAAAGACTCACCTGTGACAGTTATCATCCAAACCATTAGGAAAGAGAAGACAGAGAGCCACACAACAGACATTATGAATGTCAACAAGTAGCATCGTTGGAATCGTGTTTTCCTGCAGTCTGGTATGGTAATGTATAGGATTGCAATGATGGGAAACATGATGACCCATTGAACTCGTTTCAGACAGGTGGATGGCATACTAAGGGCAGACTTTGGCTTTGGTTCAGGGGGTGCAACTGCAAGATAATGTATAGCTGCCAGTGTTTATTTTCTGCATTACATTCATACATATTCAAATTACAGGACAGGAAAGGTGACAAATATTTGAATTATAATTAGCAATTATACAAATGCAGAATAGCAAAAAAGAAACTGAAGATGATCAAAGTGGCTAGAAGCAAGATAAAATCTTACTGGGAAATCAGTTTTTTTAAATAGTGAATATACACAAAATTTCTATGTCCATAAATTGATAAAAGATAGTTTGAGAAAAAAAGTTAACATTCAAAACTATATAAAAAGTTTTGGCTTTATTTTAAAATCCTTAATGGAGACAACTGTAGAAAAGCAAAAACATTCTACTTTTTGCAATACAAACTATAATTAAAATAGCTTAGAGTATAAGATGTTTAATATTTAAGTCTACATGAAGCAGTCAAATATACAAATAAAACTATATTTTTAGAGAACACCTGGAACCAGAAAGATAAGATAAATCTAAAAATCAATTCAGCAAAGAAATCATTAACGACTGAATTCAGTTTTTATTGCAGCTTATATGACATATGGAGAACCTAATTCACTTGTGAAAAGATTGAATTTCTTCATTTACTGGTAATATATTAGTATAGAAGTGCTTAATATATTTTGACCAATTATTTATCAGCTTTCTTGCATTGGAAGAACAAACTCATACCTATCACATAAATAAAATTCTAAATTGCTATCCTCAACTAACAATAGCACCTTTAGTAAATAGGTGTTAATTTCTTCAATTTGATTAATTTTAATTAATATTGATAAATACACCTGCTACAAATGAAAATTATGTTAACTATGTGCAAGAGTTCACAGGAGTTATGTTAAAAAAAAAATATGGCAGGAGTATGAATTTTTGCACAGATTTAAAAAAATAAAAAAAAATAAAAATAAAATAAAAGAAGTTTACTTTGAAAGTAAACAGTCAAATATAGTTGGATCAAGTTTCAATCATATCCCAATGTCTTGTATCACCTTTTCTAGCTAAGATAATGCAGAAAGAAAATAACATTAAAATAGATACTAGTTAAACATTTTGATAAAATTCTATACTTACTGTAATACCTAAATAATATAAATCATAAATTGTATCTTTAACTATAAGTATTCAGTATTTTCAAGATACATGCTTTTTCTCACTATAACTTTGTCATTTTATTTTCCTATATCTGATCAACATATTTACATTTTCCAATGTACTAACCTCATTCACTTGTTCATGAATGTTTATTTTTAAATTTTATTAACTGTTAAAATTTTTTAAATTAACCAGCAGGATTGCCATGGTAACAATTTTTTGTTAGATTTTTTTTTTTTTTTTTTTTGGTTTTGATAATGATTGTTGAGGAACGAAACATCAAGGAAATAAAATTTTAAACATCTGACTGGTTTTCATGTATTCCATCTGACATACTTTGTTCAGATATTTTATATCAATTATCATATCTCGGTCCATATTTTTAGCTAAATATCAAAAGCTGTTTGGAAGAAAAATTAATATTTTTGCAAAGAGTAGGAAAACAGTTATTTTTCATCATAGAAAGTTTGGTTCCTATATACTAAAAGGTCTGTATTTTCACTGTTACTGCTATGATATTTCAAGTAGAGATTGCAGTTGTAATTTGTCAGTATTGATTCTACAGTCTAAGTACCATAATATTTAGATATGTACCCAAGATGCACCAAAATGTGACACAAAGTCAAGTTTAATATGGGTATGCCTCAGGTGTCAAGCAATATCTACCCACCACAAAACTGAAGGAGAAGTACTGCCTAGAGAGATGGCTCCCTAAGGCTTGAGCTAATAATACTGGCAAAGGAGCGAACTCTTCTATCAGTCAGTCATACGAGACATTGGTCATACCACTGGCAACAGTACAAGTACCATTGTATTTAGATGTGCACTGATGATAACAAAATGTATCACAAAATCAATATTAATATGGGTTTATTAGCAGTACTGTGTAAAAATTCTCAAAGTCCCCTCAGCACTTCCTCATTTTGGGGACCCCTCAGGCACCAGACAACTAACTGCTGAGGTGAGGATGACCCCCTGGGGTTAAAGCTAATACTACTGACAGAGGAGCAAACTCTTCTGCTGGTCAGTCATAAAAGACATTGCTAATACCAAGTACAATTGTCACTACCTTATATAGTGAACCAATACATAGTATCTACTCATACATATATGCTGATTATGATAGCACTAATTAACCACTGCTACACTTACTTTTGATCAAAGTCAAGAGAGGACAATTAAATTGATTTTTTTTAAAAATAACCATAACTTGATTAATCATAAATTATAACATTTTTTTATCTATTTTTTGAGATAATCAATTTCCTTTTATGTATTCCTTTTTGTACCAATAGGAATAGCCAAATACTTTTCAGATATCATACTTAAAATTAGTTTCCAGAAGTGATATTTCATTTAAATTGACTACATTTAAGTTTTCATGTTAATTGCTTAAAGATTTTGTCAATCATTTTTTATTATTATTTCTAATATAAAGGCTAAAAATAGGACAAGAAGAAAATTGTTTCTTTGGAGATTTTTTCCACTGGATTCTGCAAACTTAAGATATGAAACCACATTTTGGTATAAATAGTCATAAACAATTTCAAAATCATTTTGACCTTAAAAGAAGCAAAAAGATATTTATAAAGAAAATAGGTTTACTTTTAGAAAAGTAATCACCATTATAAAATTTGTCCAATCATTTTTAGATATCGCCAATTTTATGATAAGAAAGATTGTACCAAGGTTTATGTAAACAAGCTATATCAGTCTTTTTAAATTCCAGATAAATGAATATTCGAAATACATAAACATGATAACAATCCTTATTAGAACAATGATATTTTTTTGTGAGATGTGGCGTAACTGGATATATTTTGTCCTTGCACTCCTTCCCCCCAAAATGTTAAGCTTTTGGAACTTCTCATATAAATGCATCTGTATAACTTAAACTATCATTTGTATTTCATAATTATTTTTACATTGCAGTGTGATTGATTATCAGTTATTTCAAATATGTTTTGAGAGCAAAAATCCTGTATTTTCAATTTCCTAATTAAGCCATTTTCAATAAACAAACAATATTATTCAAAATCATAAAATAAATTCTGGCATGTGATATTCATGCCTCATTTTTTTTTTTTAATTACAAAGAAGTAATATTAATCAGTAAAATAATTTCCTAGGTAATGATTCACATGATGCCTGTATGAGCAGTTGTTTTATACACAGAAATCCACATTTTTAATATACAAAAAAAGCAAAAAAATTGAAAACATGAAGTGACCCTAGAAGTAAAAATTAAATCATACTTAACAAAAAACACACATTTATGTAGCCTGAGTAAATGAAAGATGTGGTTAATAGCAAACACAAAAACAACCATGCCAAAAATAAAATGTGCACCAAGAATTTCAAGGTAAATTGTGTAAACAGTGACAATAGCAACAACAATTACAACAAGTAGAGGATTTGATTCTCATACTAGGACAAACAATTAAACTACTGTATGTTATTGAATGTTATACCTTCCACTGGAGGCATATTTGTTGTCCAGCAAGTGTTGTTTGGAGGGTCTTCAGAGAGGCCCTTGCCTAAGAGATTAAAAAGACAGGAAAAGCTTATAAGTTGTTTTTAAGTAGTAGAATGAGAAAACAGTCTTAAGACATTTTTTGAACTGAAATGGATAAAGGAAGAAAGGCAGAAAAAATTTTTTTTTTTTTTTTTTTAATGATTCAACTTTGCTGAAATGAAAATAAGTTTGTATTTTTAAGAGAAAACATGATAGATTAATAAATTTTTAAATATGTTAATCCAATTTTGAAAAAGTGAAGATGATAGTGTATTTGAAAATTAAACATGCTTAGAGTGAGAACAGAGTTGATACAGAGATAAAAAAAATGGTACCTATAGAGAAGCTATGCTTAAAAGTAACTCTGCTGATTGTATTAGAATAAAGTTTCAGAATTAAGATTTAACTACTTTTGAGTTGATTAGTAAAGATGCATTATAATATAGTAAATTGTAAGCTGAAACAATAAGAAACAATTCTAAAATTTATTTTACAATGTAAGAGCAGTTTTAATGGGTTGTAAAGGTGTAGTGTGACAATGAATGAGAATGAGTGAATTAGAAAAAAAAGAATATTTCAGGAATTCAGGTTTATATTTATAATATGGTATCATAAATATTACAAGTATATGAATGATTACTTAGAAAAAAAATGAGAAGCTTTCTTCAATTTGCTGAGAAGAAATCAAATAATTTTTTTTGATCTTTTAGAAGTCAATATTTGTTAAAACAGTTTGGAGATATCCTCAATAACTATGATGTTTATCATGATGAAATAAAGAATGATTATCACCTTTTTTATTTCTTACAATACATCAGTAATTGTCGACTCCTAGATAAGTCCCACTTTATTTTCATTCAAAAAAAAAAAAATGAAAAAGTAAAAGTTATGACTAACATATTAAATAACTTGCACTAGAAATTAAGTAACATTTCTAAATTTCAGTCTAATTCTGTAATCACAAAATTAAAGTGGTTATGAAAAACTAAGTAAAATCAGGAGCAAGAAAAAGTGAGAAGAAAGAGGAGGGGAAATGTAACTAAATTATAACAGGATTCTAAGTGAACAGAAAAGGAATGAACATAAATGAGTGACAGTGATTTATTTTAAGATTTTTTTTATTGTTTACTAAAAACACTTTATTGTATCTGAATTGAGTCACAAGTAAAGAGTCTTAAGAATTTTGGGAGGTATTAAAAAACTGAAATACCTGAAGGTCATCTTGGGTTTTAGATCAAAGCCTGTATTTTCTGATTTTAGTGTAATAACAAAAAAGTCAAAGCACTAAGAAATCAGTATGAAGAATCTGTTAAGAAAAATATTTTTATTGCTTGTGAAAAATAAGCTTTTCAAATGGTTAAGCAAAGTAGGAGATAAAGTTTCCTGTTCTACTCTTTAGAAGGATGAAATTGATGATAAAGAACAAGATTGAGAATCATCCCCATTTCGGCCATTGTTTATTTTCATGTTGCCCAAATCCCTGACAAGCTATGCCTTACAATCTGCCAAGAAGTTGTTTTTTTATAAATCTGAAGGTTGTCTAAATTTGCAAAGCTCATTTTAGGGGAAAAAAAAAGCATTAAAATCATAAAAATGGCAGACATTCTAACCAAAATGGAGGAAAATGAAAAACCCAGTAAAATGGCCAAGAAAGAAAACAGTACAATGAGAATGGTAGCCAACAAAACTTGAAAAACAATAAATTCCACATTTACAGGGGACAACAAAGTTCAATCAGTTTTTGAGTATACAATGAGAGAATTTTCAGGTTTTGATCTTATTAGAAAATTAGTTTGTTTACAAATTTATCCACTTTGAGTTGTTTGGTAAACTGGTAAATAAATACACTGATAGAAAATAAAATTGCATCAGTCTGAAAGGTGGTGCCAATTTTTTACCCTAATACAGTATATGCATGTTTGGATGTAGAAGATATTTTGATAAAATTTCCAGTCTTCAGTCATCTTGTGATGTGAAAGCTTTAGATAATGCCACATGCTGTGATAAAGTTCAGTGTGGTGAAACAGTCCAGTGCATGCAGGTGTCATGCCATGGGGATGCACACATGCTCCAATTGTTGCTAGAGCCATTTCAAAGGGGTCTAATTGTGGTCCTTCAGGAGTCATGGTCATTTCAAAGGACTGCTGTGAATGTTAGACATGATAAATTGGCACTGCTTTGATGTTGGCAACAGTGGTCTAGTGAACATTCCTATACCTGGAGATCAGATTCTGGACAGTCATATAGTACAGATGTTTGCCAAAGATCAAGACAGTGACAGACTGCTGGGAATTTTTACCTGAAACATGACTACAGGTACACATGTCACAATACTATCACACTTGTCTGCAGTGGTGGCCATAAAGTTTCACCTGGGAGACTGGTACCGAATGGTAGTATTCAGTCATCAAAACAGGGTTTGTCTTCATGTAAGTAATAGTCATTTGAGAGTTTGTGTGTGTGAGTGAGAGAGATGTAAACCTGGCAAGTAACATCTTCAGAATGTATTTATCTCAAACTCTGACCTTATGATACAGGCACTATAAATTACAACTCACTTGCCTTTGGTGCTTATAGAGAAAATATTGAACAGAATATTGTGAAACTTGTTCTGTTGCCATTCCTCTAACTGGAAGTCAGTATGCTATCCAACAGAATAATGCCTGCCCACATGATACCCATACTACTTAACATGCTCTACAAGATATTCAACAACAACTCTGGTCAGTATGATCACCAGATTTACTTCCCCCATTGAATATGTATCAAATGATACCTGACTTATTCAATAAGACCACCTACTATTCTTGCTGTAAGAGGAATAGAATAATGTATTACAGAGTGGTATTTGCCATATGTATAATAATATGCATATGACAGTTTGTGTTAATATTTAAGAACAATATTTAATGATATAAGTTCTCAGAAAATATACGAGGTTTAACTACTGCTGATATACTCCTTATTTTAGAACCTGTTTTTGTATTAATCTGTATATGTGCTTATTATAATGCACCTATATGTTTAATCTCAAGTAAATGGAAGCACAAATTCAGAATGTTGCAATCATATTCAGTGTATTTTTCAATTTACAGTAATCAAATTTACATAATCATTATCAATCTATTTGTGAAAATTTTAATTATATTTTTAGTAACCAGTTTTTTTTATACAGATCCTTATTTTCAATGTGGTTTTTTGCTTATAATGCAAGAAATTCATTTCATTCACAGGCTTTATTTTGGATAAAATCATACTATGTATAAACTGCTGCTGTAATTTCATTGTGCATTTGAATGATGCAGATTGTAACTGTGATATCCCAAAATACAATCAGCATAAAATTTCACCTGAAGAAGACTAGAAAAAAACTAACTGAAATGTTGAAAAGCAAAAAATAAAAAAAAAACAGACAAAAAACAAAAAAAAACAAACAAAAAAAAAAACAATATTGAATACCAATTCAACTAAGAAATAAAAAAAAATATTAAAAAAAAATAACATGTTGTAATTAGAAGTTGAAAAAAAAATAATAAATAAATAAAATAAAAAAGATATTTTATTTTTTTAATAAATAAAAGAATATACCTAAAACTTTAGAAAATGTAAAAGTTGTTAAATTGATATTAATATTGGGGTGAAAAAGAAAAAGATGGTAGCATTTTTATCTACTTTGTTAGCCAGAAAACATTTTAAAAAATCTAGTTGTTTGCCTATTTCATTATGCTCTATATATTCAAGTGATGCAATGTTTTTAAAAATTAAGCTTCAAATCATCTATTTTCAATTACCGATTCATTTTAACTGGTTTCATAATATTTCTTTTTATGCATTAAATTTATCATAGGATGTTTTATATAAAGTATTTTTGATATGAGATTATTCTGAGTAAAAATATTTTTAGATTTATAAATTGATTGTTTGGAAAGAAAAAACATTTTTAGTTTTAAGTGAAAATGTAGAAGCCATCAATTGTTGTGCAATCACCATTTCATAGAACCAAAATGAAAGAAAAGATAAGCATTACCTTAAAATTGGTTCCAAAAAGACAAAGATGAAGCAACAGTAATGTACCACCTGATAAGTTGTTAGCCTCAGTCTGAGTATAGCCAGAAAATTAATAGAAAAACAAAATAGTACCAAAATGTTGGGGGACTTCATTTCAGTTAATAGTAAGCAGAGAATATGAAAATGTTAAAATTGAGAGGCACTTGCACACATTGACACTCAAATGGAGCAACAAATATTTACCCAAGGCAACAAAATTGCTTTTTTCATCAAATTCATCAGAATCTGAGTCTGTGTCATGAGTAGCAGGAACTTTTTCAAAATTGCTGCAGTCTAGTATGGAAAAAAGCAATAGGGGTGACGATGACAGTGACAAAAATATACAAAAATAGAAAATCTATTTTAAAAATTAAAATATCAGTTTCATTTAAGTAAAAAAATAAATTTCTTAAATATCAGGAGATAAATATTGGAAAATGATATTTTCTGCACCTTAAATACGATTCATATATATATATATATATATATATATATATATAAGAGTTCCAAATTTTCTTTGCAAATTCATAGTGTTTGACATAAGCCATCATCAGCTACTAGAACCATGTTAAAAATTAAAAATACCTGTAGTTAAGCAAAATGTAAATATCAAGCAGTTATTTAAGAACTTTGAGAGGATTTGTTTTTTTCAATCTTATTTTATTATCCTTGAAAAGTTTTGCCAATAGTTTCTATGATCATTTTTCAAAACTTTTGACAATATCTTCTATCTTCCCTTTCAAAATTTCTTTTGATAAACATTCAATGAACAGCAAATAAAAGTGGCTTTAAAAATTGTACAGAATGATGTTTCTATGGTCAGTGACTCCATTTCATTCTACCTATTAACATTGGTCAGTGTAAGCAACTGATTTTTTGAATTAAATAGAATCAACAGGGAATATTTAATAAGTGATGCAATTTTTTTTCTATAAGTTGTGGTTTGTTCACTTTATGGAAGAGCAATTAGAAATTCCAGATAATACATGATTATGATTTAAGTAATGAACAAAATCAATGAAAATGTTCAAAAACTGCAAATCAGCAAAGTTTAAATGAAATAAAGAAAATTTTTTAAAATAGTTTAAAAAATTATCAAACTGAAACTGTTTGCAACATTAACACCCCCTGATGCACATTTTTGTAGAGAAACTATTAATGTTTATTACAGCATATTTGACAGACACTGTATATGTTGTCCTTTAGTTAAACAACTTCTTTGGACAATGCTTTTGTCAGTAAAGACAATGGAAAAACCTAGTATTTCCAAAAGCCTTATTGGCTCATTGTCAAATGTACAATAGTTATGTTGATGTAAACTTCAAAAGCACCATGAGTGACAATATTTTAAATAGTTGTGACATAAAAAAATTAAATTTTTCTATTTCTTTCGAAATTGGATTAGGTTCTTCATACAGAAATACTAGTGTTTGTTTTTTATTAAAAGTATTTATTTTTCACTTGAAACATCTTAAAAGAATCATCGTTTTTATTACATTTCAACTAGTGTGTTCTCTAGCTTTCTTCAAGTGCTTTGAAAGCACAACAGCCAAAATGATATAACAAAGTCAAGGATATTAGTCCAATTGTAAATAATGATAACTTCTCATCCTAGAAATTCAGACAGAAATTATCTTAAAGAGTATTCTGACTGAATGTTTTGAGTACTAAGATATCCATTCAGAATATTTACTACTTTACTGTACAAGGCCCAAGAGTTACTTGAAGTAGAAAGTTACAGAGTAAGAAGCACAGTTTTATGGGATATGTTTGGAAGTTAATGGTTGACTCTAGACTTGAACAGGTTAAGAGCATAGCAATCAGTGAAGCATCCTCTTGGGAGCCAGTTCCACAATGCAGCGATTCATAGGAAGAAGCTGCTCAAGTGGGCTGTAAATCTCACCAGTGGAATATGAAAAGAAAGAGGGTAGTTTGCTACAATGTGTGTGGCATGGCAGGTCTTTGTATGAACACTTTCCATACAAATCTCACCAGTGGAATATGAAGAGAAAGAGGGTAGTTTGCTACAATGTGTGTGGCATGGCAGGTCTTTGTATGAACACTTTCCATACAAATCTCACCAGTGGAATATGAAGAGAAAGAGGGTAGTTTGCTACAATGTGTGTGGCATGGCAGGTCTTTGTATGAACACTTTCCATACAAATAGTGATAGATCAGTGAGAGACTTGTGATATTTCATCTGTGAGAAAGGGATTGTAAAGTGGAAAATTGTTACTCACAAGGATGTGGAGATGCTTTTGGGCTATCATTTTGGAAAGTGAAGACTGGGCAGCTCTTGACCATATATGGCACCAGTACTTCATTTTCGGTCTGATTTGGCTATTGTAAAGTAGAGGAGTCAGGTACTTACAGAAATTGTACAGGGAACCAACTATTTTTCCATCATCTTTAATGATGGATCATATGTAGAATTTCCAACTGAGTTCTGGGCTGAGTTAGAGTAACAATAGGTGCTCAAGGCATGAACCTTCCCTGAAGGAACAGCTGTTCATTGTGATCAGTGAATGTTCTGGGTCTGCTTAGTGATGATGGAATGTCACTGGTTTGAGACCAGCTTGTTTTCACCCCCACTGAGCTGTTAGAGTTAGGTCAGAGGAGAGATCAGCTGCTAAACTGGTCATCAAGAGATGTACCCATATACAATTGTATCCTCAGCATAGATATTCACAAAAGATCAGAGTATACTCTTAGATAGATCATTTATGTAAAGTAGAAAGAGCATTGGATGAAAAAGTGAACCTTTGGGCATGCCTGTGTTGATTGCTTGGGCCTTGGAGGACTGGCCATCAACAACTACCACCATCAGGGACCTACCTGTTGAGAAAACTTCTTGTAATTTCATAGCTAAAGAGCTTTTGCAGCAACCCTTTTTCATGTCACACCTTGTAAAAGGGCCTTTGAAATATCTATTGTGATCAGCCTTGAGATGTATTTGTTGTCAAGTGCCTTACTGATTCTGTGAGTAATAGGAGTTAGGATATCAGCAGTGGACTGAGCTGATTGAAACCTGTATTATGGGTTGCTCAAAAGATTGTCCTTATTGAAGTGATCAGTAACCTTCTTGTTGATTATAACTTCAAAAAAATCTTGCTAATAATACTGAGGAGGCTGAGAGACTGATATTGTGACAGGGATGAGTGCTTACCTATATTCATTCTTGAAAACAGAATACATCTGACACCTTCCAGAGATTTGGGAAGGATTTCTTCAAGCAGCAGTTAAATAATTTAGCTGAGATAGGTAATAACTCTGAGTTAATATTGTTAAGGACAACCAGTGGGATTTTTCTGGACCAGTAGCTTTCTTAGGGTCAAGAATCTTGATAAGTCTTGGCATTTCCTAGGCTGTAATACAAAAATATTTCTAAGACTTAGTGAGACTGGGGAAGGCAGGAAGGAGATGGTCTTTGTCATCTAATGTAGAGTTAGGGGCAAAGATTGTGGGCAAAAAGCTTTGCCTTATCTGGCGATGAGATGACCTTGGGGCCATTTATAACATTAGGCATTGACACTTTGCCTCTATTCGGAATTTGGCTGGAGATCTTCCAGAACTTTTGCGATTTAATTTGTTTGCTTTCAACCATGGCCTAGACTGCTTGTGCATATCTATAGTTTGCATTTTCTAGAAGTCTCTTGTGATGATTGCTGACAGTTTTGAATGCAGCAAGTGCCCTACTATGCCGTTCCCTGTGATAGATACTGTAGTAGTGGTTATGCAACACATTCATGGAAGAACCAGGGCTGGCTGTACAAATTTTGCTGCAATTCTTTTTTGGTTGGGGCATATAAAGCTTAATTCCAGAAAGCAACCATTCTAAAACAAGGACAGCTGTTTTGGAGGCAGTATGTTTGAAAAAGCCTGAGAGAGGCACTTCTGCCATGTTGGCCAGATTAGCAATCTTTTTTATATTATCAGTAATGACATTTTTTTTTTTTTTAATCATTTTAAATTAAATAAATTTTTAAATGTTTACTTTTTTCCCCAAACTTAAATATAGTTCTTTTAGCAATAGAGATAAAGATGAAAAATCAATGAGAATTATGAAATTCTTTTTTCTGAATTGAAACTAAATCAAAATGGGCTTCAAAATTTTAGGTTTTCTCTCATCAAACCTGATTATAAATATCAATTGATAAAGACTGGGTTGTATATTAATTTAGCATTTGAAATGTCTATCCACATATAAATATACATTGTGTCAAATGGTGAAATTAATTGCTGAATAAAATATTTTAAAGCAAAATTTCCTTCTTCTGGAGGAGACTATCAAAATATTTATTTTATATATACTAATATTAAAAGGAAAATGATATAAAAATCAGTTTCCCTGACCCATAACAGTTACATTTGTATACAAATTTCATACACTCAATGTAACAACTATTATGGGACAGCGAGAATATTATTTAAAACTAATAGCATATGGAATGTGGCTGGAAGTCCAAAGAGCATGCTAGATCTGGCATTAGGTGTTGTTTGCTCATGCCTTTTTGCATTGTGAATTGGCTTTGCAGATATTTATGAATATTTACTTAAGAGTGCCTTTGCTAAAACCAAAGCAGAACAAGCATTGATCTAGAAAAAATATATATCTCATCATGAACAGAGTTTAATTTTGTTAATTGTACAAGATATTCATATACAGCAGTAAAGTAAGCACATAGTAAGGGGTCCTGAAAAGTTTTCAGCTTAACAAAATTTCAAAAACATTTATTCATATTTTAGAAAGTAGGCTGGATCAAGACCTCTTTAGCACTTATACAAGAAAAGTGTAAAACTTCATCCATAGCTTACTTGATTTAGGAACTTTGGATACCTTAATATTTTCATTATATCCTAATTGCCACAACAATTAACCCTTAATGAAGTAAGTCCTGAGAAAATATATCTGTTAATAATGCCAGTTAGTTCTGTGAATAATCTCAGTTGTTTGTTAGATATTAGTCACACTTCTAAAAACATGTTGGATCTAAATAGTGATTACTGAAGGTTGTCCTGGTAATATTAGTATAAAAAAGAAATTGTAGAAAAGTTGGATCGAAAGGGTTAATCCAAACTAATTGAAAAAAAATAAGTTATGTCTAAAGCGTGGAGATATTCCGTTTACAATTCATCTTCATTATTGAATTCAGTTAAATTAAATATTGCATCTGTTTTGACTGGTTTTGAAAAGAAAAAAAAACAAAAAAAAAAAACACAAAATTATTCTTATAATGGTACAAAAGGGACTGACCTACATTATAAGTTATAATTACAAGAATGCATAATTTAAT